GTTCCGTATCAAGGTTGTTAATTTTCAAAAAAATTTTGAACCAAAAAACAAATGTTATTAATCATTGATCAATTTTTATTGGTTACTGATTTTTTCCTCAAATACGGTACGGAAAGTTCCAGGAATTTGCCTTAAAACACGATGCCATGCACACTAGTTTGCACTTGAAACAATTAAATCGGAATTCCATTCGACGAGCAATTTGAAATGTGACATATGATGATATATGATATTCATTTAAGCAACCGAGAGCTTTCGACTTTTCCCGGCAACGCTCGTTCACTAGGTGACGTCACTATTGCCTTTTATGTTTTAACTGGTTGAAATGTATGAAGACTAGCTGTCCAAGTGTATTATAAGGTCTATGGTTTAGACATTTAAGCTAGTAACAATGATTTCGAAAATTGAAAGGCCATTTGATGGAGCTCGATGAAAACTCTAGTTGATTAGTTTTGCGAGATAAATATAAGTAAGTAAATTTATATTTCAAATATAATTTTTATATACCTGACCAAACTGCTTACATTGCGGGTGGTGCACAAGTTTGTGATTTTGGGCACCATATTCAGTATATTTGTGGTAATGGTGTTGCGGACAGTGTCCAGTATATCTAATGAAATTAAAATTATTAATATTATTCGCCTATTCTCGATACATATCTTACGACAAAGTCACAGTTATTTCAAAAATATTATAATTAAGTGTATGGACATTTTTGGTGACGTTTTTTTATATAAGAACATAATATAAGTTAAGGTTCAGGTTGTAAGGTAATAAAAATAAGCATTTCAAAATAGTAGGTACTGAAGCGCCGAACTTATAAATAATTATGCAAAATTTATGCTATATGGAGATTAGTTATTAGCAGTTGTCAGTATTAAAATGTAAATATACGCTTTCATAAACACCATGGCTATAAAATTGTGACTACCAACGAGCGAATCGAACAAAAATAATTTAAGCACACCGACAACACCACCAACTATTTGTTACAGAAATGTTATATATCTAACCATGAGATAACATAAAATAGCTATATTTACTGAGGATAGCTTCGCTAGAATACTAAGATAATAATTATTTTGTTCTGGATATTTATATTTGTGAATCTGTAAAAATTATTCTGTACAATTTAATAGTTTGGAAACCATACCCTGGTATAATATAAGGCACAGGTCTTAAATCCAAACGTACTGCCATTTCATGTCACTACTAAAATAATTTAATAATATTTTTTTATTCTTTCACAAGTTCCATTTTGAAATTATTACTTTTGTTTTAATTTGACATGTATAAAAACTGCATTGTAGAATGTTTTTAGAAGTAAACGACATATCTTTTTTTTAAATCCTAGTGACGCGGAAGAAATTGATTAAATTTTTTAAATACTTTGCTATTTTGTTAATGATTGCATCATAAAGTTATTTTATTCACAAAACTACAATATTGTAATTAATTAATATAAGCAAAGTGAACCAGTGGTGTGTAGCCTTAAGCCTATCATTCTATGAATATGACAATTAATTAACAAATTAAAATTCATTTTTGATAATATGCAATTCTTTTGACATTTTGAATATTTAATTTGTTTTTTGAATTGTTGCAGATTCTTATAAATAAACCAAAATAGCAAGATAATCGGTATTGAAAATATTTTGTTATAACTTGGGTAACAAAATTTTAGATCAATAAATGCGTGATGCAGTGGTATTGCGCTAATTTCATTTTAACCGGAACGCGTTCCGGACTCCGGCTTACGGTTTGGAAACACAACGGTTCGTACCGGTTCTGGTTCGGTTCAATATAAAAATTTGCCAAAAATTAAGAAGGAAAAGATCAGCAAATCTTTTGAACAATTTTCAATGCACCAGGCAATTCTCGTTATCAGAAATCCTCTTTAGCCCCGGAATGCGTCCCTGTCGAAAAAGAAAGCACAGGAACGACATTCCGGAGCGTTTTGGCTCGACAACACCACTAGTGTGATGTCATAAACATTTAATGAAATTATTATTTTAATTAATTATTATTAATTTTTTCATATACAAACTTGTGCGCAATGTACATTTTATTAAGCATGACATCTTGCCGGAGTATCCTGTCCTGTCTGGTTCAAGAGATATTTAAAATATGCAACACGTTCTCTTTCGTGTACCCCCGTTTTAGTGCGCAACGTTAAGTATCTTTCAAGCAGGTTCAAGATTTTGAGCAAAAATGTTGACGCAAAATTGTGCTTATATCTATTAATTATAAGGAAATGGTTTGATCGACCGACTGACACAGCTAATTAACGCGAGTTCTTTTGAAATCGTTGCAGCAGTTTTCGAGAAAAACTCACATAAACACATACTTTTTCCAATTTTTATATAAAATGAGTTCAAATAACTTCAAATGTCAAGAAGTCATACAATTAACTACTCGGTTTTTCTAAACTTTGCCATAGAATGATGTGAATAGATTATTGCCTTATATTATGTAAAGAAAGTTTCGCAAACTTCCCAATACGCGTAAATAACAGACTTAATGAGAGAGAATTAAAATTTAGCTATTTATTTATTTCGATAATAAGGTTTTTGCTTTCTCTAGAAACTAATCAATGCTATTTCCAATTCATATATTTTTGTTCCATTTACTATAACTTTCAAACATACTTATAATATCTGCTGCAATTCTTAATTGTAGTTTTTACAATTCAATTACTTTTTGTAAGACGGATTTGAAGTAAAACTCGTTGCCCAGATTTTGTCCTATCTATTCTTTGTAATTATTCTTCAGCGCCTGTCAATATTTGTTTTAGTCTGATAGGTGCATTTTTAAGCTATAAATTAGTTGAAATTTATATTTCACATGTTTTCCTTCATTTCTCTTTGTGTATCTTATATTGTTTTAAAATTAACAGAGGTAAGAAAGTCGAATAAAGAACGTAAAAATTTTAATTTTGTATGCTACTATTAATATGCATTATATTTACAGTCAGGATGGATATAATTTAATAATATGATATCTTATATATTATATTACACAATTAAAAATTGTGATTATATAAAACACTAACATTCTTCAACAGTGAGAGTGAATGAAACTTGTCAATATGTCAAAAAGCATGTGGCTCTAGGGCAATCATTTCAATTTTTGGCCACCATGAGAAGGCATGTCATTTTTCGTGACCTTTTTATGGACTTACCCGCTGCATATAACATTTTTATAGAATTTTTGTTTTGCTTTGGACCATGAATACTATTGTCATGTTAAATCGCATTCAAAAAGAAAAAAACAACATTTTATTACAAAAACGTAGACTAAAATTAAAAAAAACGGCTCGACTGATCCTTTCATAAAGCTAGTGGTGTATGGCATCGTGTAAGATAAATTGCTGGAACTTTCCGTACCAAAAATTAATTTTTGTAGAAAAGATTTTTTTTTAACTGAAAAAAAAATTTTTTTGACAGTTTTGAAATTTTGGAAAAAATGATTTTTAACGGCAAGTTATAGTAATCGCAAAAAATCGAAAATGAAAATTTTTATATATCTTTACGTTTCAAAGGTTTCTGTATATTTTGGCATACTTTAGAAAAAATGGATGTATGTGTTTGTGCACTATGAGTGAGTATGTGTGTATGTGTGTGTGTGTCGGGAACAACGATCAACCGATTTGAATAGTTTAAAAAACATTTGATTTGTTTTGATAAGGAGACATGCTGATTAGGTTTTGGCATAGGCAGGCCTAGTAGTTCCGAAGTTACGAGGCAAAAAGTGCCAAAACCGATAACTCAGTTTTTAAGAGAACGGAGCGTCCGATTTTAATAATTCAAAAAACATTTTACTTGCATTGACAAGATGAATAACTGATTAAATTTTTGGGAAGGCACGTCCAGCAGTTATAGACTCTCAATGTCTCAATGCCCCGTATCTTTGGAACGACTATACCTGCCTTTTCCAAAAACTAATCAGCACGTCTAATCATCAAAACGAATCGAATGTTTTTTGAATTATTCTAATCGGTTGATTCGTGTCCCATATGCACAAACACACACACATACATACATTTTCTCTAAGGTAAGGCCAAAATGTTTAGAAACCTCTGAAACGTAAAGATATATGAAAATTTTCTTTTTGGACTTTTTGCGACTACTAACCATAGATAATAAGCTACTTACTATCATATACCTTTTTTTATCCATGGTCACTAAGTCACCATAACTAATTTAAGGGAAGTTAGAAATACATGAAGGTGCATGATGAACATGATGAATAATATACCCAGATTAAAAATTTCAAACAAAAGCAAACCACGCGCAAATCAAGGTGCGCCACACCTAACGAACGAACATGAACAGGCAAGATTTGCGTACCAGAACGAACGGCAACGAGCATAGTGTGGACGCCACAACGAATACGAACGAACACAAACAAACATGGCGAGCAATGTTCCGCAACTTGTCGGTGCATCAAAGATAATTGTTTGTTCATGTTTGAACTCGTATGTGCAGTGCGGACGCTACCACGAATGTAGACAAACATTTTTCTGTTTTGATGTTAAAATGTGCAGTCCTGCATTAGTTTATGCCGTGTTTATTATAAGATATTGCTATTATTGACAAATTTTGTAAATTTGATGAGTTTGAATAATTTTTCTCTTTCTCGCCACTTTAAATAATAATGAATCTGACGTTTCACGGTACATCCTCAAACAAAAAGATTCAAGCCCTCACTGCTTTGAGGCGTTTGTTTGGAATGATTTGCCTTTGTTCGTGTTCGTGTTCGTTCTTCTTTATATTTTCATGTTTGACATGTTTGTTAGTGTTTGTTCGTTAGGTGTGGTCGCACCGCACCTTTTGTATTTTCTTGTTCGTCATGTTCGTTCGTGATCGTTCGTTAGGTGTGGATGCACCTTCACACTGTGTTCGTTCGCTAGATATTAAGGTATTAGAAATTTGGCAACACTGCACTATGTCAACATGTACCGCGTGGCGAGTCAAGTAATGTCAAATGTCAAAATTGCACTAAATGTCAACCTTGATTGTCAATATTTACTAAATATTAGTATATTGTTAATTTAATTGATGTTATATCATTAAAGTAGTGTATATGCTTCATTAATAGTGAGGTAAATCATATTTCAGATATAAATATCTATTATTCATACATACTACCAATGCTAGTTAATATAAATGCCTACGTAATTCTTAGGTTATATTTTTATTTGTCAATTAATACAAATCTTTGATAATCACCAAAATAATTATAAAAAAACTTTATATTATTTGTATTTAAAATAGTTTTATTTTTCTGCATTATCAACGTCGTGTTGTGGTTTGTGTTAATTTTTGTAATAAAAGCTAAATTATACACATACAAACATCTACTTCCTTCTTTCTTACTAACTCATCCTTTTTACTAACTCATTTAATATCATTCCTGTTTTTTTTTTCAAATGTCTATTATATCTGTCTTTTTATTTTGTATAATAGCTATATAAGAAGTTTCAAATAATTTCTTTATCTTATGTTTTTTATATATTCTTTTAGTACAAAATAATTAAAAATATAAATGTTTTGATGAGTTGTTATATATATATATATATATATATATATATATATATATATATAGATAAAACTTGAGGATTTTTTGTTTGATGTTGAAACATATTGAATTAAATAAAACAGCCAATGCGTCGAATATAGAAAGTTTATTTTAATTTTTTTTATACATTGCGAGACTGGATTCAAAGACTAGAGAAACGTATAAAAAAATTAAAATAAACTTTCTATATTCGATGCTTTGGCTGCTTTATTCAATTCAATATGTTTCAACTTCGAACAAAAAATCAAGTTATTTATATATATATATATATATATATATATATATATGTATATGTATAATATTTCTTAATTTATATTTTTATCTAGATGGCACAATATAATCCGAATGAGTATTGGAATCAACAAAATCCACCAGATCACAGCTATAATTTTGAAGTTCCAGATGATTTGTAAGTATTGAGACTTTCACCTATTTACAGTAAAGTACTCTTAAAACAATTTCAGCTTTCAGAGAAAGCATATTATTTTCAATTATGTTATTTACAATAGTAATCAGGTTTCGAGTATAAATCACATTTTGCTGTCACTATTTTTGGACCAGCAATAATTTTGTTAATTTATCAGTTAGCTGGTGGCTGGGTCCTACCCCCAGTACAGTTGTGATAGGCAAAGATATAGGTTAAAGAACAATAGATATAATCATCAAAATGGTTTATAACGTCTTTTATTGTCAGAAATATATGACACAATACAACATGATGATTTAAACAACCATAAAACTTATGAATATAATTACAATATTTAACAAAACATATTTTGTTAAATAAAGTTAACAATTGAACAATGCAATCATTTTATTCTTATAATTAATAAGTAACCAATTAGGACTAGTATTATTATAAATAGCTCATTTGAAATTAGTCAAAAATGTTAAAAATAATTATCAGTTAACTGATTAGTCAAAATATTACAATAACTGTGTATCAATATACTGAGATCTAGTCAAAATCATTATTACAATGGTGATAATAGTGATTATCACCTGCATATTTTACATGAAACCAGAAATTGCATCTGATTGATGTAGAGCGCTGACTCATGGACCGATTCTGCGCATAACAGAGAAATGTTACGGCATAGCTATGTTACGCTCCGACTCCCATACATTATGCGAATGAATCATACTGAATGCTGTCAAAATATCATGTATTTGCTGTTCATTCCGGCGTTTTATACATAAACTGCAACGTCACTCGTATGTTATCTAGAGGTATCAGAAACACACACTTATCTAACATCGTTTTTTTGACATTTGTGCGGCTTTTAGGTTATGTTTTGCATAAAAAAACCTGAGAAATTCGCCTGACTGAACACCAACCGCATAACTTTTGTTTATATTACTATGGAAAATTCTTCATAACATGACCTTATCATAAAATTGCGGCAGAATCGGTCCCTCAATGTATAAATGAAAACTTGCTCGAACAAACATACTTCAGTTTTCTGCTTGTGGAACCTAAAAAAAAGAAGAATTTATTTTTGCCTTTTGGAATTTATCAGTTAGTACTAGTATCAATATATTAATCTGCTATGATAACTGTCACTACTGTACCCTGGCACAACCATGCCCAGTCTTCCCTGCTACCATACAAAACTCAACCTTTCTGACCCATCACATTTGGCACTGACCCTTGTTTTACCATCGTGATAAGTTTCTCTCTTAAAAATAATAAATTTATCTGTCATCAATTCATAAAATAAGGAAAATGCCGAAGGATTATAATTTTGAAATTTGGGAAGTGTTGCCTCTAGACAATATTAGAATATGATATATTCATATTCATGACAATTCTATTGATATGAAGACGTGTGCTGGTTAGTTTTTGGTGAAGACAGGTTTAACCGTTTTGGAGATGTGGGGCAAAAAGTGCCAAAAACGGTAATTTAGTTTTTGAGTGGACGGAGTACTCGATTTGAATGATTCAAAAAACATTTTATTTGTAATGACGAAATGAATAATTGATGAAATTTTTGGTAAGGCAGATCTAGCGGTTTCGGAGATAGAAAAAAAGTAAAAAAAATAGTGGTCAAAAATGAAAGATGAGATTTTTAAAAATCAGTATTTACTATTTTTTTGTTAAAATTATGTTGGGTTTCGTATCAAGATTTTTAACTTCCCGTAGGGTAAGTTACAGTAATTGCAACAAAATCTAAATTGAAAATTTTTTCATATATTTATGTTTCAAAGGTTTCTGAACATTTCGGCATACCTCAGAAAAAAATGGATGTGGGTTGTATGTTTGTATGTTTGGATACAATTTCTCGTCCACGATTTCGGGCGCACATTACAACCGATTTGAATGGTTCAAAAAACATTCGATTCCTATTGATATGAAGACTACTGAGTAGGAAATGAATACAAATTTTTTTGTTACAATTTTAAATGTTAAATCATTGATCCATTTTTGACTGATTTTTTTCCCTCGAATATATAATTCTAGTACGGAAAGTTCCAGAAAAAAATGAGAATTTTCAGTATTTTTTTGTTATTAAACGATGTTTTTTTACAAAAATAGTAATACGGCATTATTATACAATGTTTTGAATTGAAGTAACAAAATTTCAGAAATCAAATATTATTTCCAAAGTTATAGTAGTTTTTGTTGACCCAGTTTAAAAAAACGTTCCTGGCGGTGACAGTCATAACTCCTTAGGGATTCATCTAAAATCAATCGAATAAAAAATAGCTTTATAAATAGATAATTCTGGGCCTGATCGAAGATTTTCTTTTTTTGCAAAAATTAACAAAATGGCAGCATCAAAAAAAGTCTAGATTTTTGGGAAAAAATCAATGGTTAATTGGTTTTAAATTTTTTTTTAAATAAAAATTTTTTGATCAGTATAGTTTATTATGTATTCTAAAAGCTGTATAAATTTCATTAAAATCTTTTAAGCGGCTTTCGAGTTACAGTTGTCACCAGTTCAAAAAACATAGTTTTGAGAAAAACGCGTTTGAAGTTTCACATTGGATTTACGAACAGAAATACGAATTATTGAATTACTTAAACCGAGTCATCTATTTCTGGGCCATATAATAGTTCATCAGTCATTGTGGAATATTCCAAAATTTCTATTTGCTGTTGCCTACGAAGCATTCAGGCCTCCCAAATGTTCTCGTTGGCGCGCTGATCTGCCACTTTCACACGTGCAGCATACAATTTTTCAGCATAATGGGAATTATACCCACAATTAGTTTCTAGAGTATCCATGATCAATATTAATGATTATGTATATGTATGCTGCAATTTGTACGATATTAGAACTAGTATTCACGGTTTTTGGGCATATTTTTCATACTAGTTGGTTGAAGCTCTCAATTTTTTTTTCTGATTATGGATTCAATATTGAACTAGAGATCTTGAAAGTAAATTATCATTGCTGAGATCGTCGTAAATTGGTTTAATAGCTTTTAAAACATCAGAAGGTAAGGGATAAAAATCTTGAGTATAAGTATCGAACTCTCAACTTGCTTTAGCGCACTGGTAAGAGTTCAATAACTCAAAAAGTAATCATCAGATCAACTTCAAATTTTTCGAGAATATTTTCAAGATAATTACACTTAACGAAATGCAAAAATACCAATAGTTTCCATTCTATAAGGTTGTTCGAAAAGTCACTTTGTTTTTTTTTACCACCTAGGATTTAACTATATTTTTTTTATTTGAACCTAAAATCACACTTAAGCACTCTAATTATATCATTTGAAAGCTTATATTTTAAGGTTTGTGTGTAAAAAATATATGGTGCCGCTTTGAATACGAAAAGAATTAAGCACCATTTTCGACATATTTTAGTCTTACGCTATAGGAAAAGTAAAAATACTGCTTAAATCAAAGTGAAATCGATTGATGTATATGGAAATGACGTATTGATAATACAACGGTGCCAAAACTGGTTCCCTAAATTTCATTCCTGGTATTTTGATGTCCAAGAGCACCACGTCCAAGAAGTACGATTGAAGCTTGAAAGTCGAGAAAGGTATTAGTTGATGCAAACCGGCTAATAACAATACATGATATTCCTTTGATTTTAAATTTATCAAATTTAGCAGTTCATGGCCACTTAAAAGGTCTGGGATTTTCCTCGAAGCTCAATGTATGGTTTTCATAGAAAGAAACTTGTGTCGTCCCACTAGCGTTTGCTATTTGCCTCTGAAAAGTCCTAAAAATGTTCAGGTTTTGAAGCGAATTGTCACTAGAAATGTCAAATTAGATGTAAAGAATAAAATACACACAATCTCCCATGATGCATAAAAGAAGAACCTGTTCAAAACAGTTGCAAATCTGTAATTAACCAAAAAAAGGTGATGCAATATGTTTGGTGAGATTTTTAAGGAGTTGTTCTTTTTTCAGCTTTTTTAAAATAACATAACGGTTAATGTGGATGCCTTATGTCATCAGTTGCATAAACTAAATTATGTACTTCAAAAGAAAGGGTCAGAATTAACCCACAAGCAAGGTATAGTATTGCATCATGACGACGCAAGACCTCACATAAGTTTGGTGCATCGCCAAAGCTGTTACTGCTTGATTTGGGCATAATGCCACATTCGTCACATTCCATCATTCGACCATTATTTGATCCGGTCACTAAAAAACTTTTTAGGCGGTAAAATTTTCACCTCAAATGAGGAGGTCAAAAAGCACTGTGATCAGTTTTTTGCCAATAACGATCAAAAAAAATTTAATTTCGGAATTATGCTAATACCAGAAATATGACAAAAGATGTTTGATCAAAATAGCAAATATATAGTTTATTAAAGCATTGGTTTATTTCACTATTAAATTACGTGCCAAAATGTCTATAAAAAGCGAAGTTACTTTCCGAACAACCTAATAATTTCCATATTTTATACTATCAAGCAAGTTGGGTCATTTGACCCGCTATGTTGCGGGTAGGTATATGGTTATTTATGCTTATGCTTATTAATTCATTAATTAAGGGAGTATTCTAGTGTAGAGCGATGAATTTTAGGTCATTTTTGAAGTGTCGTAAAAGAAAGCAACGGATGTTTTTACTATCCATTTTTTACCACTTGTTTATTAATATTATTAAAAAACAAAACAAAAATATAAAAATAAAAAACTTGAAAATTGTAAAAACTGGCAGCTGATGAAGTGGGTGGTCTCAAAAATTGGCACCTCGGTCTTGACATGATTTCAGCCCTCCTAGCCATCGGAAATGCAAAAAATAAAAAGATTATTAATTTACAATGATGTCGCAATCGCCCGAACTAGCGATGAGTAAAAATATGTTTTTTACTGATATTTTGATTTTCTCGAATTTTTTAAAAATAGTAAAAATTGGAATTTGGGGATAATCCTAGTTCGGGCTACAGATAGGTCTATAAACAAGAGTCTCTGAACATTTCAAGTGAATCGGTCGATTAAAACTCGAGAAATCGTGTCAACAGTACTGAAAAAGTCTGTTCTGAGAAAAACGCATTTAAAGTTTTGCGTGAAGCCAAACCAGTATGGAGACCGAGTCAGTAAAATACCTATATCTCCGAAAACAATTCAAGTTTTCAAAAACCTTCTCGTACCCATATTCTTAGATTGTTAAACTTTGAAAATATGAAATACAAAAATAGATTTTTTTGAATTTCTACACTAGAATACCCCCTTAATTGATTAATTAATTATGCTTATTTATCTATGGATATATGATATACAGGGTGGCTGATATGTATTGCAACCAATTTCAGACCGCTATCATTTCTAAACCGCTCATCAGACAGATGACAGATTTATTCCAGTGATTGTTTATTTAATTGTTTACAAGCGTACAAAAGCATTTTGATCTATTGCATTCAGAAAAAAAGTTATTCGTGATGGAAGTCAAGCGTGATAGTGCGATTGCTTCATACTTGGTTGAAAAACCTTAGGTGGCTATATTTCGAGCCCTCCAGTATTTAAATGCGAACAAATATTTTGTTTCTCGTACCATATCTCGTAACGGTGATACACTCAGTGTTGCACCGCGTCCAAAAAGTGGACGAAAAAAAAACACTAACAACCCCAGAAATGATCCAAAAAGTATAGGCAAAAATCAATCGAAATTCGTGTCGCAGTGGTAAAAAATGGCCCGTGAGCTAAACATATCGCAAAAACGGATGCAACACGTATTGAAAAATGAGCTTGAACTAAAACCATTGAAGATCCAAAAAGTGCAAGAGCTCATTGACGCACAAAAAAAGTTAGACGGAAAGAAGCGAAGGGGTTGCTTCGCTTGCACGAAAGTGGCTAGTTACCGAATTTGGTTTTCTCAGATGGGAAGTCCTTCCAAATCGAGCAGTTTGTGAACAAACAGAATGATAGGGTTTACTTGCCAAAAAGGTCAGCTAAAAATTTACACCACCAGAACTCGAGTGCCGCCGACGGTATGGTGTGAACCACCGTAACGGCCGATGGTGACATTCCACTCTTATTCATCGACCGTGGGATCAAAATAATTGCCGAAATTATCGGGAAAATGTCTTAAAGGCAGTATTGAAGTCCTGGGTAGACAAAAATTTTGATCGCAGACCATGGTCATTCCAACAGGACTCAGCACCATCAAACTCAGCACGCGCCTACCAAAAATGGCTTATAAAAGAGGTTTTTTCGCTTCATTTCCATCCCACAATAGCCACCAAGATCTCTGGATCTAAATTTGCTGGACTTTTGTGTCTCGGACATTTTGAAGAGTAAGGTTCGCACTAAAAATACCAAAGTGTCGATCATCCCAAGAAGGGCCTCGCCGGGAATGGGCCAAAATACCCCAGAGCCAGAGCCACTTTCGTGCAGCGTGTTATGGTTTTTCTTCTGCCGTTTGAAGGCCATAATTTGTGCCAAAAGTGGCCAATTGGAACAAATATGAACAAATTCTAAAATTTGATGTTATTTCTGATATTTTTGCTTTTGAATAATGAAATTTAAAATGAAAATGACAAAGTTATAGCGCTTTACTTTGTTGCAATACATATCAGCCACCCTGTATACGCTATGGTAAGAATAGTTATGTATATGGAAAGCGGCGGTACGATTAGTGTTGATTACAAACAGTAATTATGAGCCGATTTAAAAAAATTTAAAATTTGTTATTGGTTTTGAATCACGTTAATTAGTTTCTGGTAAAGATCGGCCGTGCCGTTTTTCCGTAATTAAATGTTGACAAGTCTGAAATGACATACTATAAAATATTGTAGGCCTACGATAAGCGGTTGAAATATAAAAGTTAACAAAGTTTAGAATTTTGACGCGCACTCGAGCGATTTTAATCAAAATCTGAGCCATCCGGGGTTCTGTGTATCGTAGGTAACTACTGATTATAGTTGACGTCCTCAATTAAATAAAATACATTTTTAGTACCTGAAATGGATGAACTGAAATGTGTTAAACGAATTAATTTAATCGATACAATTACAGAAATTATAAATCGCATTGATTAACTTTTAGTACGCAAATTGGAAATCGCATTGATTAACTTTTAGTAAAAGCGAAAAATTATTTTCCAAATAAACATTTACATACATTGCTGAATCTCAATTCTAATCTGTTAAGTTTATTATATATTTGTAGCAAAAAGTAAATGCCTTAAGGCAAAATGCTATTTACAAGTAGTTCACTTAATTTTTGTTTATTGACAATTTATCTTTAAATTTTAAAACCAAAACTTGATTTTGCTTTCAGCGGTTTTCAATCATTCGACAATGATCCAAATCAACAACCATTGTCCAATCAAAATCAAATGTATCCAAATGTTCCATTTACTCAACTGAAAATGTTTACACCGGTCAAGTTTATGATCCAAATTTAATGCCAAAAACTGACCAATATTCTCATGGAGGAGGCGGAGGAGAATTTGATGATGAACCACCACTACTGGAAGGTAAATGTACTTCCAATTTCACGATTCTAAAAACATTTTGAACATTTTTATATATCACTAGTATATCATATATTTTTGTATTTGAAATTAATAAGAAATTTTATTTTAGAATTGGGTATAAATCCAGATCATATCTCAAAAAGGTAAGGTCAACTTTCAACTTTTGCTACTTTATTTTCATTTTTTTAAATTTATAAGGTTTATTTGTATAAATTTAATTTATATAAGTTTTGAAAATCCAAATATATATTCATAACGGAATGGAATTAGTTATTGAATTATTTTTTATGTAATAATAATGTAATGAAATTCTTACAGCTGATTTTTGATATGTGGTCTAATAATATATAAATTCCTATTTTAGACATTATCAGTATTAAATCCCAAAGAAGATCCCGATCCGAATTTGTCAACGATACTGATATGGCCGGGCCACTTGTTTTTTGTTTAGCATTTGGAGCTTTTCTTTTACTGGTAAATAATATTTTTTCAATAATAGTATAGATCTTTTCATATATTTCAAATTAACTCAATTTTAAGTATGTATATTGATTAATTGAAACCAAAATTTAAAATACATTAATAAAGCTAGACAAAAATTGATTAATGAATCTGCATCTAACATCTGTAATAAAATAACTGTTTTTCAGTTTATTTCAAACCTAATTATTAAACACATTAATAAATCTATATTCAAATTGGTTGAGAGTAATATAATATTTTTATATTAATCTAATTCAAATAACTATATTTAATATATTAATAAAGCTAAACTAATTTTAATTATAAAACTAAGAGAATATTACTCTTAACTTCACGTACTTGATTTTTAAAGATTCATAATAAAATCAATATACATATATTGATTAATGAAATTAATATTTTTTTAATGATGATAACCATTTAATACAAATATCTATATAATTAATAAATTAATAAAAGCTAGCCTCAACTTTAAAAGTATTAGTTGATCTCAATTTTTTTATTATATAGTAAATTTTACACCTATCTTTTAGGGACAACAAATAAATTTTTATGAGTAAAACTAGACATTAAAAATACAATTTGATTTGAGCATTGACAGTGATTTTGATATTGACAGAGATTAATATAGAATGAATTTCTTTTTCCTGATTTTAAAGTTAATAAATAAAACTGATTTATATTTTTTAGTCTGGCAAAGTGCATTTTTCCTACATTTATGGTATCGGTGGAATTGGTTGTTTGGGTATGTACAGCCTTCTTAATCTAATGTCTCAACGTGGAGCAACTCTGATGGGTGTGGCATCAGTTTTGGGATATTGCCTTTTGCCAATGGTGCTTCTGTCAGGAGTTAATGTCATTGCTAGTCTCCAGTAAGTATTATTAACTTCCCGAAGGAGAAATAGTTTTCATCAAAAAATCCGATTCGCTAATTTTATGTTTCTCAACGATTTAGGCTATTCTGAATCAAATGAGATCAAATTTGTAAAAAGGACGTGTGTGGAACAGATTGTCTCCCTTTTTTATATGTTTATTTTTGACTATGTATAAAAGCACATTAGTCATATACATTCTATCAAGCAACTTTACAATTCTATTTATTAGATTGTATATAAACTATATAGCGCACCATACATTCTTTTTTTGTCAACAATATTATAATATTAGTTTATCTTAAATCGACGTTTTCTCAAATTTAACAGCAATTCGATGTACCTCGATGAGGACTATCGTTTGTCAGTTTGCGCGCGACGATCGGCCGAGCCGTTTCTTTGTAATTTGCAAAATGTAAAGCTTTTTCGTCCATTAGAATGATCTGAATCGAATTCAAAAAATCAAAAACTGTTCGAAAGATATTAGTTCGGAATGATACTGATTAGTTTTAGGTAAAGATCTACCGAGCCATTTTCTTGTAATAAACTGTTGAAAAAAAATTGCGGATTTTATGAAACCTTTTTTAGTTCCTAAAGAACATACTAAAATATTAAGGCTCTACGACAAGTAGTTTAATTTAAAAAATGATCAAAGTTTGAAAAAATATTATATATTATATAAATATATATTTATATAATATATATGTATATATATACATAGATATATTATATATATATATATATATATATATATTGTATGATTCTGAATTTTATGTTGACATATGTATTACAAGGTCTAGTAATCGGGCATAACATCAATAAAAAAACATGAATTTCATTCAAATCCATATGTTTCGGCTATAATCCTAGCTTTCATTCACATATATTGATACCATGGATTATTAAAATCTTCCAATTTAACACTAAGTTTAACTAATTGTAAGTACCATTTACTCTTTTTATTTTTCTTTTCAATCTGATTCAATTGTTTTAGTTTTTAATTTTATTTTTAGTTTCCACTGAATGCAGGCTAGGATTATAGCCGAAACGTATGGATTTAAAATAAATTTTTGAAAAAAATTCATGTTTTTTTATTGATGTTATGCCCGATTACTAGACTTTGTTACTATATATATACTAGATGACCCGACAGACGTTGTCCTGTACCCACATCTACTTTTTTAATATCAATACTAAAATTATTTACCGTTCAGTTAAAAATAATCATTATTGTTTTCGAATTACTATTTACACCAATATATGAGTGATGTTGAATGTAGAACTGTTTTAATAAAATGATTATTCTCAATTCCCACAGTTAACACTTTAATTATCCATTTAACAAAATATTAAAAAATGTTCAATAAAATTGTATATTAAAGATTATACACTGTAAATTTATTTCCAATAGCTCAATTTAATTTAATGCCAAGGGTTATACAATTTTTCAGTCATACCTGTAGAAGTGGATGTATAAATAAATTGATTTGTTTATTCACGACTAAAACATTGATATTCCAAATTTTCACACAGAAAATCATTGTCTGCCTTTGTGATTTATGGTCATAGCATAAGACACGTGCTGAAATTGAAGTCTTTTAAAAGGTATAACAAATTCAGAAGGTATAATATCACCATATAGGTACAATATCACCTTGGATTTTCTACCCAAAATAAATGCTTCAATAATGTTGCCTATAATTTTTATAATTATGTACCATATTTTAACTGGCTTTTAGTAATTTACGATCTAAATTAAATTTTTTCACTAATAATTCAATTATACATTATTACTTAAGTTTATATTGAAGTGAATTAATTTATCAAATCCTGTTCACATGTGCTCTATTCAACCTACGATCAACCAAATTATTGCAATAAATAGAGAGGAAAAAAGCGTGTATCGGAAATAGCTGATCTTTATCTAAGTTCAGAAGTGAAAACAATTTGAACTTCTGAACACCACCCACCGGATTATTTGAATTATAACTCTTTTTATTCTGATTTTATCAGTACTTGCAATACACTATTATTTATAATTAAATGAGTTACAACTTTCTCTATCATAAATTTTACCGTAACTTTTCTTATTTTGAAATGGTGAAGGATTGAAGGACTCGAAAGACACTCTGGTTGGACACTATCAATATTTGTGTAACAGGAAAATAATATAATAAAAAGCAATAATCGTCAGTAAAAGACCTTGATACGTATCTTTTTTTTTTAAATAGATTTTTTTTTGTGAAATCATGAGATTTTTGGAAAGAGATCGTCAATCTCTTAAACCAAGTTGATTATAGAGGCAATACAATTATTTTCAATTTTGTTTGAAATGGGCGCTCAAAAACTATTTGCTTTAAATGAAAAAATATTGTATGCATCTTTTATCTGCATGATAGCTCACTCATTTTACACGCAGAAGTACTCATTCTAAAGCTTAATTTGAGTACTATAAAAACTCCATTTTCATATCTAGCCTTATATTGTTACTAGAACAATTTATAGAACAGCGATTTATTAGAATTTTAATTGATATAATTTTGTTCATTACATGATTTTCGTTTAAATGTATATGTTTGCAAATGAAATATTTGCAAAAAAAAAAAACGAAAAAATCGCAAAAAAACAACAAATTTTTAGTAGCCAGTAACTTGAAAAGTAATTTCTTTTTTGAAAAACATTATTAAACATTTTTCTCTTCTAATTAGTTCTTTTATCGATATCCGACGTTAGTTTGAAAGAGATACAATTGCACCACTGAAAAGGGATGTCATCCCCCGGGAAGTGGCAAATGATTCTA